TCAGAGCAGACCGTTCTAGGATAAGAATTTTACACATAACTTTCGAGTCCAGAACGGGCCGTTCTGGCACCCTTTTAATGTCTATAAATAGATAGCTTGGGCACAGTTCTCAGGGCACAAAATTTCGCCCAGAACTCCTTAGAGCTCGAAATTTCTCTCTTTCTCCCTCCTATTGTATTTATGCATTTGTGTAGTGTGAAAGGTTGCTACAAAGCACCTAGAATTTTCATTCGAGGTATTTCATTTAATCTTCTTTTCTCTCTTTTATTTCTTATTTTTAATATACATTGTTATAACAAAAGCAATCATGTAGACGTTTTAAGGGCAACCGTGTAATTTGAATTTCAAGCATGTAAATAGTAATTCATAAAGGGGATCTAATATTTAATTTATTATTTCTTATCACATTAACTTCATCATAGGGTATCGATTGAGGGCGCTGTAGGGGTGCTTAATACCTTTCCTACACGTAACCAACCCCCGAACCCAATTCTGGTTATCAAGGTCATTATTGGACTTTAAAAAACCTTTTCTTTTTCCAATGTTTTGAGTAAAACATTGGTGGCGACTCCATAGAACCTATTTTCAAAACCATTAATTAAATATTAATTTGGTGTCTGGACATTCCTTAATTGATGAGATCTTTAAAAGGACGTTTAAACCATAGGTCGCAAGAATAAAATATTTTCGGGTTGCGACATTCCCCACTTATATGAATCTCTAGTAACCCAAGGATACCAACTTTGCACTCTTGGATCATATCCTTTACCATCGTAGTAAAACCTTTACAACTTACACCCCGACAATTCCAAGAGATAACTTTCATTGGAAATTGTAGGTAAGTTTAGGCACTAATGCCATATTCATTTATGTTTGCTCATAAATAATAGTCATCATGCTAGGCTCAACAATATTTCTAGAATTCTCAACCACGGTTGGAATATTTGTAGCAATCTTTTTGAAGAACTTCTTTGTCTTCTTTGCAAATTCCTTGGTTTCTTAATTGGGTAGTACAATATGTGCACATAAATCACTAGTCATTTTCGAAGCTAATGTCTTCTCATGCAACTTTTGCATGACACATTAATCCTCAAGATGATCATGCATAGAGCCCTTTGACGTCCCATTTTTATCCTTGTCCAATGGATCTCTTTGCGATTTCATGCTTCAAGTCTTGGTATGATCTATAGAATTTGAGGAAATACTCACTTTTGTATTCTTCTTACTACTTTTTGGGTCTTTCCCATGAGGTCCTAGGGGGTTTTTGCCTCCTATTAGGTTCTAAATCTTGACAATTTTCATGGTTGCCTTTGGATTTGCAACCTCTTCCCCTTTTTTTTCCTAAAAATCCAACCTCCTTATTAGGTCCTCTTCCACCTTCCCTACGAGTGCAAAGTGGGATCCACTAAAATCCACTTCCTTCATATTACTTATAACCATATAATTTTGAAGGATGATTTCCTACTTATTATTATTTATCTTGACCTTAATATTCCTTCATTTCCTGATTTTAGCAAGCATCCATGACCTATAGGTGGGACTTCGTTAGGCAAAACCAATTTTTTGTGTACCAAATACTCCTTATGGCCTAGTTTTGGCCGCTCTTGGGCTTCCATGAAAAAATGATTCACACAAGACTCCGTCACTTCTTGATCTTCCCCTTCACCCTTTTGGACAATATTATCCACATTGGCAGCCTCTTCCATGCACTACGTCAACTTGGGCCAATATCTTCCATAATTAAAGCATATGGAATGTAATCCTTCACACTCCAAATTCAAAATGAGACCTAACACGTTAATCTATGAGACTAATTTCTTGCTTAAGTCAATCTCACCACAAATATGAGCATATCTACCTCGAGAATGAATAGAGGTCAACTTGTCTATATTTAGCATCGAACCTAATCTTGCACCTACACTCTAAAGGAAAAAATCTTTATAAAGTTCTATCAATAAGCTTGGAATGTGTATCCAAACTACAATTTTACAAATCTCCTTCTCCGAAGTAGTAAAGAAGGGTCTCCAACATTAAACTATCATATAATGGTTAGCTAGATGACAAGGCCCCTTAAGCAAAGTGTGTCGATATTCCTCAGCATCAATTAGTTGCACTAGGTAATAATCTTGCAACATGTCAATAATCCTGAAGGAACCTTTTACTACCAAGTCTCTTATGATCTTATTCTCCATCATCTTAAAACTTACTTGTTTCCCAAGTACGTTAACAATGAAAGCATTCTTCTAAGGTTTGCACCAATCTTCAAACTTGTCCTTACTCACATGGATCTTAGGACATTGGTCCAATTCCTTTGGATCTGTTGAATGTGATTCGTGATCAGACTTATTTTTATAGCATAATAAAATTTCTAATATAACATTAATAATTCTCCATCTTTCCATCCCCATCTTTTAGGAGTGTCTCTGTATGATGGACTCAAGAACTTGTCATCAAGTTAGGGAGAGTCATTGTTATCTTCCACCTCTGCATCCTTCACTCCCTCATGCTCTCTTGTCTTCATTTTCTTGGTATTACATAAGAGCAGGTCTTCTTCCTTAGAAGACGTATTCAAACCCTAACATAACATATAATAGTCATTTCATATAATTTCTATAAATATAATAAACATCTAGCATTGCAAGAGTAAATACTAGTTAATAATTACACTTATTATACTCATTGTCATTTAATTTAAAATATTTTGTCTTTGTGATATAAATTTATATTTATCCTCATTTATTATGCACATCTTAATTATATAGTTATCCATTTTGTTATACTTTTCATCAAACTTTCATTGGTAAAAATGCACCTTATTTTAAAGGATAAACTATACTTTATTCTATGGTCGTTTAAATTTAAAATATCTTATCTTTTTATTAAGAAATTTGACATTATTATTATTATTGCACTAATATAATGTAAAAAAAATTAATATATGGCTTTATATATATATTTTTATCAACAAATACATATTAAGATTGCTAAAGAAAAACTCTTTAAATTAATTCACAAATTCTAGCACTAACTCAAATAATTGGCAACCTCATCAGCCCTTCATAGAAGGACAATTAAAACTAGACAAAGAAATATTTTGTTCTCAATTTCCCTTCACCCCTCTAAAAGTTAAATAAAAAAAATGTTTATAAACAACCCGTCCACTCTATATTCCTGCAACTAAATGCAACGTAAATAAATTAGGTTGATTTTGTGAGGGATTATAACAAGCGTTGTGTTAGGATGTCATCATCGATTTCACTGAACATGCTTGTAAGAGTGCTTGTTGCTACCTCCGAAAGTGTGAACATGCCCCTGCATTCGGAGTTTGAATTAGGGAATGCAAATTGTAAGACTAACAGCACCTTCCTAGTCCATCAATGAACACGCAATTACTTGAAATATTTTACCCTTCCTCAAAATCTTGTCCTTTGGGGATTATGTTTCAAAACGGAAACATGGCATCCAGTCTTTTAACAAGAAAAATAGAATTCTAACATAATAATTGAACCAAAAAGTACATAAATACATTAATTTTAACATGGAAAGAAGAAATCTGACAATAATTTTTTGATCATTTCTCATCCTTTACACCCCATCTTCATTCTCCCTTTCCCACCCTCAAGTCCTCAAGCCCCATCTTCATTCCCCCAACTCAAATTTTTGCTTCCCTATTGTAAAGGATGGCCCAGTGCACCAAGCTCACACTACTGTGGAAGGTTTGGAGAGAGTCAAATGAATCAAACCCTATCCCTATGATCACAGGGGCTGCTTCTGTGACTTGAACACTTAACCACCAAGTCATGAGGCAGAATCTTGCCATTGCACCAAGATTCACCCTAACATCCGTGCTAAAAGGAGTTTTAAAGTAATTTGAAGATGCTTACAAACAATTAACATTAGGAGGTTTACAAGTGTTAGATTTAAATAAATTATAGTGTATATTTATCTTTCTGTAAAAAAACTGTTTTATCTCTCTCTACAGTAGCCGTCTGTCATAGATATTTAGACTGCAAATCCTAGATGTAATCATTCCCGTTTTGTCATATTATAATGTTTTTCATATATATAAAGTTTGTGCTAAGTGTAGTTAACACTCTAGCAATATTTCTCCTAAATCTTAGTTTCAGGTACCAGAACATGATATGTGAAATTAGTCTTATTAGACGAACTAGTGTGTAGTATTTGTACAAGTAATAGCATGGTTATGCTAAGACAATGTACTAAATTGCCAATGAGTTTGTAGCACAACTGACATCGGTCTAAGTGTGTTTTTTTTGTTGGCAGTACACTTAGTAGGCAATTGCTCTTAGACAACTAAACATTGAAATATGTGAGAAAGTTTTAAAATGAACGTTCTTTTGGCTTCTCCAAACAAAATTCCAAACACTAGCTTATCCCTACTCAAATGCTAACATGTTCATCGTAAAGGATGACCTAGTGCACCAGATTCTTATAGTCCTACTATTGTGAGGGTATGGAAGGAGAAAAATGTATGAAATTAGAAATCATTACCCCATAAGCAAAGGGGTTATTGCTACAACTTCAACTCTTGAGCACCAACCCATGAGGCAGAAATTTGTTGTCTTACCATGGCTCACCCCAAAGCTATACCCCTACTGTAACAAAAAAAAAAAAAAAACACATTACCACCGTATAATTCAGAAAATAAAGCTAGAATTAAACCTGGCATAACACTAATTTTTTTTACCTGAATATAACGTTTCCGAGCTCCTACATCTAAAAGCTTATATTATTACTCAACTAAACCATATAAAGTTAAAAAGTAAATTTTTACAGATTGATGCATCTATCATTATGCAACACTTCAACATTTAATTATGTTCCCCATCAAACAGCAGAAGTAGTTGGTTCCGCCTGTAACAAAAACTGTCATGCAATATATTTCCAAGCTAAACATCTGAGAAACAACCGTTCAATCACATAAACTATCTTCAATCGTCATCCCAGAAGCATTGAATAAATGAAAATGGACCTAGATATTTTTTAAATTCCACAATGGTATAGGAGCTCTGATTTATATCTTTCTCTAAATCTCCTTTACATAGCCCAAATAACAAAAAGGAACCTTAAAAGTATTTCAAGTCACAAGCCAAATCTAAAAATTGTAATTTACTAGAACAACTAATTACTAAAGAATCTTCCACAATTCAAACTCAGAACACGAGGATGGTGAATTCATTTTCTTGTGAAGACAATAACAGCATGTCAATCTCAGCTAGGATGGAAATAAGAAATATATACTCACCATCAAAATATGACAGCGAATATATATTTCTTGTGAAGGCAACAACAGCAGTCAGCAGCATGCAAGTGTGAGCAAGGTTACAAATAAGCATTGGATATTTAAGAATTTGTACTTGTGCTTTGGTCATTTATAAAGCACAAGTAGTTGTATACATCACAACTATAATGGGAATTGAAGAATGCAACAACCAACAAGAGTTCTGAGTCTTCTGACCCATCAAAACGAAACAACTCAGTTAAATCAATTGCACCTTAGACAGGATAAACAACGGTACTTAAATGGGATGATAAAACATAACAAGGTTGAATCACACAAAATTTGTACTCATGATGAGTTAGTTATCCCTGTTTTCTTGGAACCTCGTTTTTTCTTGTACAGCTTCAACAGATGAGGCTTTTCCTTCTTAAAACGCGTCACATAATTTTCAAGAAACAACTCCTCAGAAATATTAAACGGTGTAAACAAGTTGGCACTCATTCCTCTCAAACCCTTTGCAATCAAATACCGGACCACCAAACCCCTCGGAATGATCCTTCCCTCCAAACTATACCCAAACATAGTCGGCCACTTGGCAAGGGCCAAAGGGTCCCACCCCAACTCATCAACACAAAACCGCATCACCTCATTGATTTTATCTTTTGACATCAACATAAACAGTGGATTCTTCCTGAACGTATCAAGAACCACTTCTTCAGACCAACCCCAGCTCTTAAAGGCGTCAACTTTCGCGTCCCACCGCAATTTCGAAACACCCCTTTTGGCGTGCAAAGCCATCACAAACACTATTTTCAAAGGGTCAAACCCCATTTCCTTAACTTCATCAACAGTCCTCTTCAGGTCATTAGACAAGAGAATAGAGGGCCTCTTACGGAACAAATAAGAGATGTCGGAGTCCCTGACCCCAACATCCACCAACATGTTCACATTCTGTACAGCAACTTTGTAATCAAGGAAATGACGATTACCGAAGACACAATCGATTATTTTCTTATCAGCATGAAGGAATCTCCTTACCAATTCGAAGGTGGGGATGACGTTATTCTCGAGGCTGGAGGTAAGGAGTCTTGGGCACCGGTTCACCAATTGAACGATGTCGGAGTTGGAAGCGCCTTTGGAGGCTAAAAATTGGAACTTTGGCAAAACCCTTTTGTGGGGGTTGCATGTAAGCAAGTCGGGTATTCTTCTGAAGATGCTGTTTATCTGGGAATTTGAAAACCCGTTGTTTCTGAAGAAGGCGATTACTGAGTCGGGCTTTTCGGCGGTGTCGAAGCGAACGCGTTCGGAAGCTTTGAGAGCAGTTTCGGGTGAGAAGGCGCAGTTGTTGATGAGGTAAGAGACGGTGAAGGAGTGGTGTTGGGGAGCGAGTGAGGTGAATTTACATTTCAGAGAAAATGTTGAGGGAAAAGGATTGGGTTGGAGCGGTGTTCTTGCGAGAAGGGGTTTGAAGCGTTGGGAACGATACATCTGAACGTTGGGCTTGTTTGATTCTGAATTTTTTTCTCAAATAATATTTTAAAAAATAAAATAAAATAAAAACATTAATTATAGACTTTTTTTTTTAATATATCAATTTTTTTTTATTTTTCTGAATAATCCCACACCCATTTTATTTATCAAAATGACCCATTTAGTATTTAAGGTGAGAAATCGGTTGAATTTTGTTACATATTAAGAATTGCGGTGAGAAATGGGTTAACAGAAAATCGATTTCTCAACTGCCTTATTTTGTTTTTTTTTTTTGGTTTTTGTTTCTTTTTTCGTTTTTGTAATTTTTTTTTTGTTTTTTGTTTTTGGTTTTTTTTTTGTTTTTGTTTGTTTTTGTTTGTTTTTGTTTTTTTTTTTGGTTTTTGGTTTTTTTTTTTGGTTTTTGTATTTTGTTTTTTATTTTTGTTTTTGGTTTTTGTTTGTTTTTTTAAATTTTGTTTATTAAGATATCTAATTTTTTATTTTCGTATATTAATTTTAAATATTCAGTTTTTTTATTTTTTTAGTATTTTCAAATAAAATAATTTATTTAAGTTTGTAGAATAAAAATAAATAATGAAATAATTATTAAAACTAAATTATCAATCATTTTCTTAATTCTTGTACATAAACCTTAAACTTAAAAAAAAACGGAGGGAGTAATGAAGATTAATCACCACTAAACTTAGCCAAACATGAATGGATTAGTCCATTATTGTCAGTATTAGACAATATGCAATATAATTCACACTAAGGGCAATACAAATTGATGAATGATAAATTTTTTGGTTCTTGAATAGCCTAAATGGAGAATGAATCATCTGAATTGCATTTTGCACATGAATCAAAGAAAGCCACCAATAAATAATAATTAATGGAAAAAGAGGGAATGAATTGATCATTTCCCTTTAGTCAGACCCTGTGTGACTGATTCTCCTTATACCATCTTTTACATATTTCTTCTTTGCCCTTCTAACTCTCGGTCTGACCCACCGTGCTTTGTGTCTCTCACTTTCTATTTTGCCTTTCTTCTTTGTTTGTCACCACATTTCAAGTTTGGTGGTCACTTAATTAACCATTTGATTTCAACATGCTTATATATTCACGTTTTGACTTTAGATATGTTTCTTTATGTTAAAATGATTCTAGATTTATGATTTTGTTATTGATCATGAATTTGTACTTTCATGTCTTTACTGGTTATATGTGCTATGTTCTATTGTTGATCACAAATGTTACAACTCACAATATGGTTCCATTTGTGTTTGAAAAATAAGGATTCAATTTCACAGTTTGGATCTCAATTCAACTACCATGGATAGGTCCCTTAAGATCTTGCATCCATGTTGCAAGCTTGCGTGAGCTTTTTGACAATTTGAGGGTGCTTGTGAAAAACACATATTTAAGAACCAAGAATTTGTGAAATAAGTTCCAATCTGAAGGAGCATACTAAGAGATGTTTAGGAAATCAAATTTGTGAACTTAGTTCCTATCTGAAGTAGCAGAATAAGAGCATGTCTGGGAAAACGTTTCATGCTTCTTAGACAGCAGTTCACTCATTCCCAAGTATCAAATAGGGAAGGAAAATTTGGAGTTTTCACGTTGAACGGCCGTTTGGCCTGTTTCAACGGTTTTCCAAATACACTATAAGTGGTAGATGTACTAGTAAAAGCATAACACGTGCAGTAAATTGCCAAAAAGCTAGCTTACAGTTACCCATATCTAAAAGATTATATTATAATTAAACTAAACCAACACAGTCCAATGAAAAAAAAAACTCAATCACATCACATAAAGTTAAGTAGTAAAAAATTAAAAATGTTCTTACAGCTCCATGATTCTATCATAAGCAACATTTTAATATTCATATATTCTCCTCATCTTTCTCCAATGAAAGAACTTACCTCACATCTTCCCTATCTTATTGAATCATATTCAAGCTTCTCCCCCAAAGTGAAAAGCTTCTTTCAAAGCACCATTTTCAGAGTAAGAAAAGAAACACAGTATAAGACAGATAAGTTTCTTTCTGATCAAACCTGTTGATCCTTAGTATATTCTCAGCCGCACTTATCCTTCTCAAGTGACCATCTTGAAGCTGTCATTCGATATATTTCCCTACTAAATGTCGGAAACAATCGTTCGATCACTCAAACTTTGCCTTCACTTGACATTCTAGTAACATGGAACAAATGAAACATGAACTAGATATTTTTTAAATTACACAATGGTTGAAAGAGTTTTGACATGATATCTTCTTCCTTATCTCTCCTTTATATATAAACCCCAATTACCCAAAACATTAAGATATTTCAAGCAACAAACGAAACCTAAAAACTGAGATTTATGAGAACTTATATCTAAAAGATCCTTGCCAGTGAATACTCAAAATTCATGGATATATATATATATATAAAACCTTGGAAGGGTTCCTTGATGGTCAAGATGCTTGGAAAAAGGGTTGTGTTTCATCAGCTAAAGGCAAAACTTAATCAAGATTGGGCATGCAAAGGTAGAGCATATCAACTTTCTCACCAATACCATGATTTTTATACAAGTTAACATGAATGAGAATGTCTTAAAAGTTGAAACATTAATTTCAATACTCTTTCTTCTTTATTATTAGGAATGTTTGTCTATTTTAAAATTGATGATCCAAATTAAACTAAATAAATTAATTTAATTTTTTAATTAGATTAAATTTAATTTAAATCAATTAAATTCAACCTTAATCACATGACTCTATGTAGTAGATTCATGTGAAAAGGTTAGTGAAAAATTGAATATGGAGTGAAAATTGGTCTAACTCGCATCCTACTTCACCAAAAAATAGAGTCGAGGATGAAGATAACAAAAACGCCAATATACTCCACACTATTCTAAGATATTTATAAAAGTATAAAAAAATTGGGTCCTTTTGTTTGCATGTTTATAATTAGTGAAATATAATTTTATATCAATAAAAAATATTATCTTTCAACTATGAATGATTATTCTATGTATACATGCCTAGCTTACTAATCTAATGAAGATTAATCACCACTAAACTTAGCCAAACACGAATGGATGAGTCCATTATTGTCAGTATTAGACAATATGCAATACAATTCACGCTAAGGGAAATAAAAATCGATGAATGAGAATTTTTTGGTGCTTGAATCGCCTAAATGGCGAATGAATCATCTGAATTGCATTTTGTACATGAATTGTAGAAAACCACCTTTTTTAAAAAAATAATCATTAATGGAAAAAGAGGGAATGAATTGATCCTTTCCCTTTAGTCAGACCCAGGGTGGCTCATTCTTCTTATACCATCTTTTACGTATTTCTTCTTTGCCCTTCCCACTCTCAGTCTGACCCATTGTGCTTTGTGTCTCTCACTTTCTTCTTTGTTTGTCACCACATTTCAACTTTGGTGGCCACTTAGTTAGCCATTTGATTTCAACATGTTTATATATTCATGTTTTGACTTTATATATGTTTCTTTATGTTAAAATGATTCTAGATTTATGATTTTGTTATTGATCATGAATTTGTAATTTCATGTCTTTATTGGTTCTATGTGTTATGGTCTATTGTTGATAGATCACAAAATTTACAATTCACGATATGGTTCCATTTGTGTTTGAAAAATAATGGTTCAATTTCACAATTTGAATCTCAATTCAACTACCATGGATAGGTCCCTTAAGATCTTGCATCCATGTTGCAAGCTTGCGTGAGCTTTTTGGCAATTTAAGGGTGCTTGTGAAAAACACATTTAAGAACCAATACTTAATTTGTGAAAGTGTTGATTGTTGATAAAGAATTTAATGAGTGGTAGGGTTCCTTGATGGTCAACATGCTTGGAAGAAGGGTTGCATTTCATCAGCTAGAGGCAAAACTCAGTCATGATTGGGCATGTAAGCGTAGAGCATATCAACTTTCTCACAAATACAATCATTGTTATGCAAGCTAATGTGAATGAGAATGTCTTAAAAGTTGAAATATTAATTTCAATACTCTTTATTATTAGGATTGTTTGTCTGCCTTGAAATCAATGATCCAAATCAACATAATTAAATTAATTCAATTATTTTAATTAGATTAAATTCAATTTAAATCAATTAAATTCGTCTTTAATCACCTCACTCTATGCAATAGATTCAAATGAAAAGGTTAGTGAAAAATTGAATACGAAGTGAAAATTGGTCTAACCCGCATCTTACTCCACAAAAAATAGAGTTGAGGAGGAAGATAACAGAAACGTCAATGCACTCCACTCTATCCTAAGATATTACTGATGGAAAAAAATACTATCCTAAGATATTTATAAAGGTATAAAAAAATTGGGCCCTTTTGTTTGTATGTTTGTAATTAATGAAATATAATTTTATATCAATAAAAAATATTATCTTTTAACTATGAATGATTATTCTATGTATACACACATAGTTTACTAATCTACTCCCTCCATTTTTTTATAATCCTTTTTGACACTATTTTTTTAATTCTTTTTTCATTGTTACTTTTCTAAAATCAATGACTTTTTTTTTTCATTTTTACCCTTGATAATTAATATGTATTTACTGAATAATGTGTTTATTCATTTTTAATGTATTTATTTCTTCTCCAACCACCTAAAGGGTATAACAAGAAAATAAGTAATAAATACTTTAAAAAACTAAATTATCAATCATTTTCTTAATTCTTGTACATAAACCTTAAACTTAAAAAAAAACGGAGGGAGTAATGAAGATTAATCACCACTAAACTTAGCCAAACATGAATGGATTAGTCCATTATTGTCAGTATTAGACAATATGCAATATAATTCACACTAAGCAAAAATGAAATAAAAAACAAATAACAAAAACGAAAAAAAAATAAAACAAAAACGAAAAAAAAACAAACAAAAACGAAAAACAAAAAAAAAACAAAATACAAAAATGAAAGAAAAAAACAAAAACAAAAACGAAAAAAAACAAAAAAAAAAACGAAAAAAAACAAAAACAAAAACAAAAAACGAAAAAAAAATACAAAAA